GAACATTTTCAATCCTAATTTAAAGTTAGGAAGATGTGACCAATGTAGACTATTCCATTTTTGTTTCGATCCATTTCACACATTGAAGCAAATGTAACAGCCCACTTAGCTCAGCCCTGATGTTCTCCTTTCAGCCTTCACAGGTGTCAGCTTTGTCAACACTGGAGGGTGTTCATGCATTTTGATTCAGATGAATTTTGGGGTGCTGGATTGATCTGTCATAATTCCTTTGAACTCTTGGTCCTGTTTTCAATCAGTCCGATGCTTTCATCTGTGGAGAAATGAATGGCCTCCGGGGAAAATGGTACCCACACGTCGCTTTCATTTGACACTGACTGCTACGTGCAAACAGCCGCTTGCCACTGTCTGGCTTCAGTTCATCCCACCTCCCTTGAGCAGGCCACGGTGTCTCCCATTCTTCAAGCCTGAAGACTGCTGGAGAGTCCGTGGCTACAACCTGGGTTTTTTATGGTGTGTTACCTTTGGGAGAGGTGTAAGTGAAGACTACACAGAAACTGTGTGTCCGCTTGAACAAGCAGGAAAAGAAGCAGGAGAGCACCTAAAAAGGAGCAGGGAACACGGCTCTCTATTGCAAAAGCGTGACCACCCACCAGACGCTGTGAGATGAGATAGTCCCTCCAGGAGACCTTACTGTTCAACCAACTGCTTTTTCCTTGCCCTAAACATCCTTGATATTTATGTAATATTTGTTAAATGACTGCTAAGTGTCAAGAACTTTATATGCATCTTTCTCTTCACAAATAATCTGCAAAGTAAATATTATTACCTGCTCCACAGACCCACCAACACCACCACTGTCATTTTCAAGATGAGAAACCTAAGGCCAAGCAAGCTAAGTAATAATCATAATGCCAAAATAAAAACATGAGTCCGGGTTTAAAGCCAGTGAAGATCAGACCAAAAAGATCTTATTCTTTCTACAGAAGTAAGGAAGTAGAGTAAACTTTTAGTATCAAAGGCTCAAGGTATAATGGAAAAGAGAAAAACAGTTTGTATACTTAATTTTCCTTATAATTTTGTGTCAAGTCCTGAACTAGACTATTGACTCATACACGGCACACTCTGTGCTAAGTGGTCTCTCTCTCCATAGAGAGCGGCAGCACCTGACAAACACTCAACAGTGGAGAGGCGCAGACCGGTGAATGGGGAAGGAGCGAGTGAGCATACAGAGTCTCTGGAGGACCACTGCCCACCTTTGCGAAGCTGTCTCAACTGTGGGTTTGTTACCTCCCTTGCAACACAGCCTATGATAAGTGTATTTAAAATGTAGTCATCATTTTAAAAGGTATTAGAAAAAGCCAGTGAAGTGAAGTGTGAAAGTCAATGATTTACACAGTCACATTTTACACCACTAGATGTGGTAACTCCCACAGGCACAGAAATTATGATAAGCACAAACCAGGTAAATAGTTGGTCTAATGGTATAGGATTTTTTTTCTGAAGAAATTTAGAAGCAGATGATATGTATCTGATTCTTCCCAAACTTGACAACCATTTAAACAACAAATAAACTGAAACTTATAAGATGTGCAGTAACTTTTACTTCAAAGATGAAACTCAACTACATACACCTATTATCATAAATATAATAAATACAAAAATCAGATGAAAAGAAATCAGTTCATAGGAAGTGCTGAAAACTACTTATAATAAATTGTTATGAATATATGATACCCAAACACCAAAAAAGTCCAGATTTCACTGTAATAAAGCCTTATCGCTTCCCTCTGAAACTATTATTCTTTTTTCTTTTTTTTTTTTGTCTTTTTGAAACAGGGTCTCAGTCTCCTATGCAGTTCAGGCTGGTCTTGAGCTCACTTTGTAGCCGAGGCTGGTCTCAAACTCACAACAATCCTCCTGTCTCAGCCTTCTGAGTGCTGGGATTACAGATGTGCACCACCACGCCCAGCTGAAATTATTATTCTATTTCCTAGCTTTTCCTAGAGACTCGAGGGATTTGACTTCAAGGTAAAAAAGCAAGGCAATTTTATTTGGAAAATAGTTTTGCACTAGCAAACATACACTTACGGTGTTCAATGTCACTTTATTTTTACATGAAGATTTGAGCTGGGAAGTGTGATTTTATTACTGTCTGCACACGCTCATCAACCTCCCTTTCATGGTGTTGATGGAAAACAGTAAATGACCTGTGTTCTAAACTTTAATACTCTATCTAAATCAAGTTTTTGTTAAGGTTGTTCAGTGTAGATTTGAATCCATCTTTCTGGTGTATCTTCTTTTCAGTAAATGTGCTAGCTCAGCAACATTAAGTAAAGCTGGCTTTGGCAGGCATGTTTAAAAGGGCACACAAAAAATACATGTGAGGGTCACATCTCTCAGAAATAGTGGTGCAGTGGAGAGTAAAAGGAAGGGAGAGTGAGAGCCCCAAGGATGCAGCTCTAGGGGGCAGGGAGACCAAGAGGCAGCCAAGGAGAGAGAAAAGGGGCTGCCCAGCACCATGTGGAAACCCAGGGGATCTGAAGGCCAGCAGGCGCAACGCAGGCGGAAGTAGCAGCGAAGGACTGAGGAAATGTTCACTGTGACAGTGAGGAGGTCACAGCTCTGGGAGTGGACAAGGATGTGACTGAACTAAGCATGAGAACTAGAAGGCAGGGGAAGACACAGTCCCAAGACTGCTGTGTGCAGCGTACACCCTGGAATTCTGCTACCACACGTGTGCCGGGGATTTACTTTCAAAAGGAAGGAAGTGAGGGAGGAGGGAGGAAGGGAAAGAGGAAGCAAGAAGGAAGGAAGGAGAGGAAAAGTAGAGAAGATATTATACCACTCTTAATCATTCACATCCTGATACTATTTCTGGAAATGGTTAAAAGTGAGAGAGACAGACCCAGTGCACTGGGAATTGTCTGTAGCTCTGTGTTTCACAGGAACCTGGGGTTGCACCACGGAGGAGGGAAGATGGAAATGCAAGACAGGAAATGCAGACTGTTACCCACCCAAATCCAAGAAACTCATGGTTATGCGAGGCTCGTCATGGGGAGGGGAGGATCAGTAGAAATAAAGCTAAAGAAGTAGGTAGATTCTTAAAAGGAGATGAGAGTGGAGGGAACCGAGGAAGGGGCAGAAGGCAGGAAGAGACAGAGCCCACGGGCGAGGGTTGGTGCGGCTGCAAGGAGGCCACCTGTCTTTCTCAGCTGATGTCGCCATGGGTGCCGTGGATCATAGCAGAGCAGGAAGTTACCAGAAAGCATGCAGAGGACCTCAGCTTTCTCAGTGATTCAAGAGGGGAGGTTGTCCACAGCGCATGAAGAAGGTAGGAATCGAGAGTGGGTCTTCAGAGGTGCGGTGAGGTCTAAGCATTGTCTGCTAAGAAGGCCACACTGACAGATCAGAGTGTGCTTCTGCTTGAGCACACTGGAAGCCTGAAGGATTCCACACCCCCAGCACTGCGAGGGCTGCTGTGTGTGCTCCGCCTTCATGAAGACTGGCTTATCTGACCGACGCAGCTCTCCACCCACCCAAGTCCAGGCTACACTACAGTTGTATTAAGGCCTTGAAGGAACTATTGGTTCTGAAGTCTAAGGTTTTTAAAAAAGATGATTTGGATTTTAATTGTGAATTTTTCTATTGCTCCCATAGTACATAGCACACACACACATGCATGTGCACACACAAACACACACAATTTTACCCTTTAACTTAAATTTATTAGGTACATTTTTGTGCCAAGAATTATGCCAGGCACTAGAGAAGTAAAGTGAAGAAAAATGGATGAAGTATCTGCCATTATGGAATGAGGAGTTTGATGATTAATATGAGAAGACTGAAACTAATGTAAAATTACAATGTGAATTGTACTGCAAAGAGCTGCTCACGGAGCAATGAAAATGTACAGTCGACACAGGCCAGGAGTGGGAGAGAAACTATTTCACCCTGCCTCATGTCATGATCCACATGTCCATGTTCCACCGCCTACTGTCTGAAATATTCCCTTAAACACTATGGCCAGCTCCCATCTCTTTGCAGCTCCTCACGACCACGCATGCAACTGGTACTCAGTGTGTACTGGATGACGAGAATGATGCCACGGCATGTTCACCAGCAGTGTTGGGACAGCCACAGGGGGCACCAGCCCTGCTCTTACAGAAAAACCACAGATGGCCGTCCTTAGTAGTAATGGAACATTCGCATCCATTGTGCTAATTTGGTGGCGTCAACACACAAATACCATGGTATGGACTCTACCCCCTAACATGTAGGGTTTCATTGACATTTTTTCCCTTTAAAAAGGTAAAAATCACTGCGTTTCTACTGACCCACTTGAGGTTCTGGATAATAATGTCGATGTAGCAGAGACCGTGGGGAGAAATGTCCTGGGGAAAAGGAGGAATAGGGACCAAGAGAAAAGCAGTTTTATAGTTATCAACATAGGAACATTACTCCCCTTTTTTGTACAATGAAATGCCACAGAAATGTTCTCATTGTAAAGTTTTAAAATAAAATATATGATACAAAACAAAACTGCCCTTCACCTTCACCTCTTAATAGCCTTGCCAATTGCCCTGTATAAATACTTTCAATGCTTGGTCTATACTTTTATAAATATGTAAGTATATACACAAAAAGGGTATTTTTATATGCTCCTGCCTGAGTGAGTGTTGGTGTCCCTCCAAATCTACATGGCAGAATCCTAACCCCCATGGTGATAGTATTGAAATGTGGGACATTTCAGGGGTTGTTCAGTCACGAAGGCTCCATCCTCGTAGACAGAATTAGTGCTTGAAGGAGTAAGTTTATGCCCTGACGTCCTTTCTGCCATGTGAGGAGCCTTAAGGAAGCACCCCTGTGAAGAAAAGGTGCTCACCACATACCGCACTTGCCACTTGCCTTGGTCTTGGGCTTCCAACCTTCCATATCTGTGACCAATAAATCTATATTATTTATAAATTAACCATTATCTGATATTTTGTCATAGCAATCCAAACAGAGACTTTGTCATAGATGTATATTATGTCCCGAGTCTCACTTTTATTTAATAATACATTTTGCTCTATTACATGTCACTACATACTACATATGATTCTGCTGCCTGCTATTTCATAATCTGTTAATCATTTCTATATTATGAGCATTTAAATAATCTCCATTTTTACCAACAGAAAATTTTCCTCACTACACAATGCACAAATTTCCCATCAAAAAATACTGTTCTAATTACAGTCTTTCTTCCGCATTACTCACATCAAAGGACCCGTTATATGTACACTGTCCTTACAATAGTTCTTTACTTTGCCTGTTGTTTCCTGCCCCTGAAAAATAAAATTTACTCAGGTTAAATTAAAGCAAAGACCATAAACCTTCTCAATTAGCTTGTTTCAAGAGATAAAAACAAAAGGAGCACTAAAATAATACAGTGACTGATTTAGTGATGTCTCTGCTAAGATGTAGACTACATCTGCTAAGATGTAGTCTCAGCTCCTACTGCTTCGACTTTATTTCATTCCCTATCATCTATTACTTGGGCTACAGCAAAAGCTTCTACTTTTACCACACTCAAACACAGCTAGAGCACTATTCCTAAAAAATAAAGCTGGTCAACTTATAGAAGGAATATATTATTCATAAGTAAAACTCTTTATGTCTATAACTCAACTCCAAAAACAACAAACATCCTAATTCATATATGGGCAAAAGACTTGAATAGGCATTCACCAGAAAAAATGGATTAATGGATAAGAAGCACATAAAAACATGTACAACCACACGAATCATTACGCAAATGTAATCAAAACCACAGTGGAACACTACTTACCCCACCAGGATGGGCAGAAACAAAAGTGTTGGAGAAGTACAGAAAATGGAACCCTCACACATTGCTGGTACGAATATAAGATAGTGCAGCCTCTGTGAAAAAAAAAAACAAAAAAGAAACAGTTTGGCAGTTCCTCAAAAAGTTAAGCATGCAATGACCAAATGTTCCAGTGATTCTACTCCAAGGTACATACCCCAAAGAACTGAAAGAAGAATCTCAAAGAGACACTTGTACACCAATACTTGTGGCAGCATTGTTCACAGTAACCAAAAAGTAGAACTATATAAATGTCCACCAGAAGATGCGCAGATAAATACAATGTGATACACATTTATACAGTGGAATATTACTCATCTGTGGAAGGGAAGGAAGCTGTGACGCATGTTGAAGTATGGAGCATCCTTGAAGACATGCTGAGTGAAGCTGGCCAGGCACTGAAGAACAGACACCATATGTTTACGTGAGGCACTCAGTAGGCAAGTCCACAGAGACTAAAAGTACAGAGGGTACCAAGGGCTAAGGAACGGAGGACAGGGAAGCTGGTGACCAGCAGGTACCGAATTTCTGTTAGGGATGATGGAAACAGGAAATGGACAGTGCAGATGGCTGTGTACAATGACTACACTTAAAAACACACTTAAAATGATGAATCTGTGCTGTGTATATTTACATAATTAAAAATTTCAAAACCAATAAAGCTTGGAAATTTAAAATATAAAAAATGTTGGCTGTGAATGTATGAATAAATGTCACCTTTCTTCCTAAAAGCTTTCGGTGGCTCCTCAGTTTCAAAATCCCTCTCTAGGTTTTTTCAAGCACTTAGTCCACTGTGTTTTCCCTTACGTCCCTCCTCCGGACTCCTATGCTCTACCAAACGCTGTGTGACACTGTCAGAATGCACCGCTGTTAGTTTCCCTGGACAACGTCTGGGATGCTATTCTCGGCCCGCACCATTTCACCTGGAAAACACCTTCTCAGGCAACTTAGCTTCACCTCCTCCAGAGAACTTTTACAAACACTCCCTTCACCCCCACCAGGAGAATCTTTCTCTCTCTCCCTCCCCAACTTTCCCTGATGTAGATGATTACAATGCAGTACTTTATTTATAGATCTGACTTCCTGTGGTATACCAGGGTGGGGCCAGGGAAAAGCTTTTGTCTTACTTACATAGGCTTGTTTTAAGATCTCTGGCGGTAGCTGTGTGACCTCGTGCAAGATATTTGAGCATTTTTAGGTCTAAGTTTCATCTTTCACACAATGGGAATAATAATAGTCCTTGTGTCATAGACTAGTTATGAGGAATAATGAAAAAAATGCATGTGAAATGCTTAGCAGAGTACCTGATTTACAATAAACAATAAAATATTTGGAAAAGGGAAGTGCATAACTAGTAATGATTGTTCAGTGGTTGAAACATTGAATATTTTAAGGTCAAGAATTTGCAAGAAGAATAAATAACTTAATGCCAGATGCTTACTTAGAGATATGGAAAAAGGAAACGGCCAAAGAAAAAACAAGATAGAGGAGCTTCTTTGGGCCTGTGTGCCCTAACGTAGTCAAAATACTTTGACAGACTTTGCAAGTTTCAAGTTTGCAGTAAACTCTTCTACTCTTTCCAGAACCAGCCATATCCTGCTACACAGGTCCACATAACTGAAAAGCATGTAAAGTAAACAAAAAAGTAATACCTGAATAAAAAGAAGAAAGGCTTACTGTAGAAGTCTTCAGTACTAAAGCAATAGAAGCTTTTCTTGTCTTAATGTAAAGGTTTGGGAGAAATTCCAAAGTAATTTTCTGTACTGGCACATTTACACCAAACTTTTGGCAAACTGCCTTCACTCCTCGAAGTTAACTCTCTGTGTAACTCTTATTCCAAGTCTGCCTGGCTTTGGGTGTGAATTCTTATTTTATGAGTGGACATTGGTTATTTCAAGGTATATCTCTGGCATGTGCAGTGGAGGCAACACACTATGTGAAGGGCTGGGGATGTAAGTGAATGGTCGATTGCTTGCTTGCCTACCATATGCAAGACCCCAGGTTTGATTATCCACACTGAGAAACAAAGACACATGCGTTACATTTCTTGTAGGTCAAGACTTGCCACAGCAAACACTGATGGCGTCCTCCTGATAACTATACCTGATTGCCATGCTTTCCCGATAATCTGTCTCTACTCCCAGGCCCAAGGATGCAGCCTATGACCAGGCCTAAATCAGCAGGCTGTCCAGTTTCGCGATCCACTGACGCGCATGGATCATACATCACCTAATCAGAGCCACAGAGATGCAAGAAAATTTTCCACTGCATATTCTAAGAGGAGACTCCGGCTTAAAACAGAAGATAATGAATGGGTTGTGCAGAGACTCTTCTGGTGCCCATAAGATTCAAGGCCCAGACAAACATAATGGAAGGCTGAGAGGGCAGAACAAAGAAATAAAGATAAAAATGATCAGGTGCTATCGATATGCTGCAACGCTGAATGGACTATGCCTGAAGTCAGCCCTCCTCTTCTCAGCTTTTGTGAGTCAATAAATTCCTTTTGTGACTAAGCCAGTTTGGGTCGGGTTCTTTTTGTGACTGCAACTAAATAATCCCAGTAGGCCTTCATCAAAGCCACCCTTTCCAAATAGGAGCTCCACGCTCTGATTCCATAAAAAAGATAACTGATTTCTCTAGAGAATTTCTGTGAGAATGAATCAGGGCACATTCAAGAGGCTTGGTGCCAGGGTAAGGAAATCTCTCCTCTGAGAATGCCTGTGGTTCACATTTCTGTGTGGGCCAGGAAACTCCTATAAATTTCACCTGTTGACACATTTTCTTTGCAAGCATTTATAATACTTCAGGGGGAGGAACCGGAAACAGAGGTGGAGAAGGGAAGGCATGAGGCAAAATATAAATGATCGTGCAGGAAGCAATACGGCTGATGGCCTTTTAGCAAATGGCTGGCATGTGGGTATTTGCGGTGTGAATTCATGGCAGAGGAACTAATAAAGCAGTGTTATCTGATCTGGAACAGCAAGCAGAAGAACGAGTCTCTTTCCTATTTCCTGGGTTTGATATATCTAAAACCCCCTAGGTGTCAAACTGGTATTAAAAATATCCAAAGAGAACCCTGACTTTAGATTGTACTACCATGGAGAGATGAGCTCTGGGTTGTTTTCCAACCACCAACTGCCATTTTCATTTTCAAAATGAAGCTGGATTTTTGTTGTGTAAAATGCAGGGCAGGTTCTGGATTGAAAACAAAAGTCAAGCGCGCCGATGCCTGAAGGTGCAGAGGTAGGGAGTTTCTCAAGGTCTTCTGGTTAAAAGAAGTTGGTCATCAAGCCTGAGGCAAAAGAGGCTACAGAACCTGAATCTGTGAGCTGACTGTTTCTGAGGAAAGAAAAGGCAGAAAGCAGCACAATGAGTTTTTGTTTGTTTGTGTTTTGCAGTGGTGGGAATGGAAACCAGACAACCGTTCTTCCGTGCAGGCCTACGCCAGCTCCTCTGCGTAGACAGGGAGAGCAGCAGGGTTCACAGGCCTGCGGCTCAGAGATTGGTACAGAGACGTGCTTCAAAGTTTGCTTCCATTCCTAACTGACTCTCTGCCACTGGACAAGTTCATTTATGGCTCTGAATTTGTTTTCTCACCTGTAAATCCGAATTATGTTCTTGAGAATACTTAGTTGAATTATATTAAGACCAGTAAAATTCATGATCCATAAAATGAAATCAGAAGCAGTAACCCCCTTACCCATGGTTCACTTTCTGTAGTTTCAGTTACTGTCGACAGCAATATGAAAATATTGAATGAAAAATTCCAGAAACAGCTCATAAGTTTAAAGTGCTCACTGTTCTGAGGAGCGTGATGATGCCTTGTGCTGTCCTGCTCCTTCCTGCCTGGGCTAGGAGTCGCTCCTTCACCTAGCACACCCACACTGTGTGTTCTATCTACCTACTAGTCACTTAGTAGTCATCTCCATTTTATATCAAATATTGTGGTGTCACAACGTTTGTATTCCAGTAATCTTCATTTACCCTGTGAAGTACCAAAGTAGTCATGCTGCCAGTTCCATTACACCTGTTGTTGTCGTTATTCTGGTTTATCATGAGCTACTATGGTTAATCTTTTACTGTGACTAATTTATAAATGAAACTCCATCTTGGATATATACATATTGGGAAACATGATAAATGTTGGGTTCAATTATTACCCCACAATTTTAGGCATCAACTAGGGGTCCTAGACATATCTTCTGTCGATTTAAGGAGCTTATTCTAAATAACAGCAGCACAATTTCCCTTAAGCTGTGGAGACGTATTAAATATGGGACTGTAGGACTTAGAAATTGAAACCTTGTTCTCATTTGGCAGGATAAGAAATCAAAGTTTAGTTTATCTTAATGTGATTTTCTGCTGAATTTCAAGGGACAAATATCAGGTTGCAGCCAAATTTCTGCATTTGTCCAGGTTCCTTTAGGTTGAACAAATCTTGTCCAACCAGTTAAATAAAGACCTAAATCTAAAGTTTTCACTGGACCATCAATTATACAAGAGAGAAGTTTGGGTTTTAATTCTCTTGTAGTTCAATTATATAGCACACTACTTTTATCCAGAACACAAAACTGTCTCCGGGGATATAGCTCAGAGGCACGGCGCCTGCCTGGCAAGCACGAGGTTGTGAGTTTGATTCCCGGTACCAAAAAAAAAAAAAACCCAGAATACAAAACTCTCAACATTCTCCTCATTCAATAACAGGAAAACAACACTCAAAAACAATTGATAAAAGATTTGAATTTTCACCAAGAAAGACAGACAGATGACATAAGCTTGTGAAAATATGCAATATCATTAGGCATTAGACAAAGACAACATAGCACAACACATCTAGAATCACTACAATTGCCCAGACTGACCATATCAATTGTTGGTGATGCTATGGAGGAGCTACTTAGTAGCATATAAAGCTAAAATGGTACAACCCAATTTAAAAAGTTACCAATTTCTTAAAAGTTTAGGTGCACAATTACTCTATGACCTAGTAATTCTACCTCCAAGCATTTACCCAACAAAAAAGAAAGCATATATCCCCAGAAGGACTTACACATGAATGTTCATTGCAGTTTTATTTGTAATATTCAAAATTCAGAAATAAACCTGCACCAAAAGATGAATGGATAAACAAACAGTATATATCCATATGATAAAACACTACTTGCCCGTAAAAATGAATGAATCCTTTAAACACACAAAAAGCACAGATGAACCTGAAAGTAATTAGACTGAGTGAAAGAAGCCATACTCAAAAATAGAGTATATACTACATAATTCCATTTATATCAAATTCTAGCAAATATAAGGTAATTTATTATAACAAAAAGCAGATCAAACTTTCCCTAGAAAAGAAGGAATGGGGCAGGATTGGTCAGGGAGGTCCACAAGGAGGCTGAAGTGATAAACAGATTCACTATCTTGATTATAGTGATAGCTCCATTAGTGTAAACACATGTGAAAATTAATAAGTTGTATACTTTTTTAAATGTGCAAATTTATTATGAGTCAATTATACTCCAAATTAGAAAATATATATGCCCTCTATTTTTATGGCCAATAGAAAGAACAGAATTTGGTGGTCACTAAGAAGCATTTTCTACAGCTGGTTTCTTTTGACGTTTTGCTATTGCTATGGTTTGAATGTGGCTTGGATGTAGTTTGTTCCCCAGAGTTTCAAGTCCTAGAGATTGAGTCCTCTGTGTAGCAATATTGAGGTAGTGGAAACTTGAAGATGTGGGGCCCAGTGAAGGTCATTAGGTCAGTGGGAGCACTCCCGTGGAAGAGACCCACGCTGACCTTGCAGGGTAATTTACTTGCTGGGAGAGTAGGTTGTTACCCAGCAAGGCCACACTGTGTGCTTGGCTTCTAGTACATGCTTTTTCCTGACACAAGGCTGAAAAAATAGGACTGACCTTGGACTTTATGCCTGCAAAACTGTGAGCTCCAATAAATCTCTTTATAAAGTATCCAGCCTCAGTTATTTTGTTAAGGAAACAATACATGGATAGTATAACCGGCTAATGGGTTCTGAAAGATTCAGAGAAAAGAGACTATGAAAAGAAGATTCCTGATGATAAAAAACACTTAAAAGAATAGTATTCAGCTTCCTCCCTAGCTTCTATCTCATGAGTTTCTCAAAACCCCAGCTACCTTTCCACCTCTTGCCTTGATTCTTGTAGTAAGC